GTCGTCAAGTTAAGCAACAGTTTAATGCGGTCAGGACATGGATGGGGGTGACCATTGGTATACTGCTTGGGGTCGAAATTATCGCTGGAGGATTTCACGAAAGTCTTGGAGTGTATTTAACAATCTTCGATACGTAATAGTTTATGAAACATGAGAAAACTAGGAATATATAAGTATATTTCTTTAAATATTATAATTTTCTCACAGTAATATCATTGTGATTTCACCATTATATTACTGTGATGCATTTGTCGCGGACATTTTAATATTACTGTGATATCTTAGTAATATCCCAGCATTATTTCTGTTATATTCCCTGGTAATATTGTAATGAAAATATAATATTGCTGTGATATTTCTGCGATATTACGTGCTGTGTGGGATATTAATATTTAAATATTGACAATGTTCTGCGTAAGTATTTTATCACTGGACGAAGTATTACATATCAATATTTAAGTATTGAAATCAATCATAAGGTAGGATTTGTAACATTAAATATTGAAATACTTCAGTACTAAAAGCTGTATTTGAATTACAGAATATTACTAAATACTGTACTTTTAATACTGAAAATAAGTAATTAATCAATGATTCTTAGTATGATATTTCTATAAGGGTATATAATGAATCTATTTGAGTCATCGGTTTAATGGGGTTTAGGATTTTAATAAAAAATATATATATAAAAATTGGGACTCAAGAATCGGTCTAAGTATGGAAGGTTGATTCTCCGCGTACGATAATCGAAGAAAAAATTTCGATACGTGCGTTTAACATACTGGACAATTTTATCCTCCCACAATTATATTAATATTAAAAATCATATTAATATTAGTATTTAATATCACTAAGACATCCGTGCTTGCTCCTTATGTGCCGTTTCAAATCTTACTGTTAGTTTATTTTAGAAGTGTCTATGGTAGGAGATCGTAAAAAACTAAAACTCTTTCTATTAATAAATTGGGAGTTAATTGTTTCACATTCATGAAAGAGCTGAAAACAGGTACAGGTATTTTTCACCGCTCATTAATATATTTTAAAAGGTAAACTAAAGCTTCTTTTGCGAAAGGTAAATCGTCTGGATTTGGTATTACGAGTCCATGATCGACATATCCAACAAATGTTCTCGACATTATTCCATTGAACTTGCTATCTAATGGCTATCTCATCCATTGTTAAACAAGCGTACAATTTTTTATCACCAGCAGCTTCACATCTTTGTTTTAATATTTCTACAGTTTCTAAGGAGAACCCAAATGATCCTCTAATACTACCGTACCAACTTTTAATTGTTGATGGAGTTTATTTTCGAACACTGTGCAGATATAATTAAATGTTTTTGGATTGTAAAAATTCACAGTTAGAGCATGCTCGTAATTGAGTTGGGTACATTCTGTTCACCTTTCCTTGTGCAATTTGGTTTATAATCATATGCTTATCTGCAACGGCCTATTATCGAATATTTACATACACATGATCCTAATCCTAACATAGATGACTGCAGTGTTGCTACTGTTCTGTTAGGCTGGATCCTCATACAGACACCGGCGCTTTGACACCGAACGCTTATTGGTGAAAAACGGATGGTGGGAGTAAATAATAAGAAAACGGCGTTAAAGCAACAGCGCTATCATGAGGATTGAGTTTTTCATTATTTTTTGGCGCTTAAACACCAAAGTGTATGTGCCTATGTGTCATCGCAGATATATTCGGATTTCTATCAGAACTGTAGACTTTGTAAACTTGTAATAAAATTATATATAGAAAATTATATGTATGGAAAAGATCGCGTATAAATACAAGTAAGTTAGTCAATTAATTCTAAAAATTATGGAAGTGAATTTATATGTAATTAAAAAGCTTTGTTAAAAGTTTAACAATAATCTAACCTACAATGCTCAACTTATTTTTTAGGCATTTAGACAGTGTTGTTAGAGGATTCATTACGGGCCATTAATTTAAAGAAGAAAAAGAAGACAGGTTAGTGTAAAAACGTACACGTAAATATATAGCGTACATATATACGCATATAAATAAATACACGTAAGTAACAAAACAAAATA